ACCCCGTGACTCCACTGCTCATCACACAGCACCGCAGGCCAGCGTAGCCAGCACCACCAGCAGCAGTGGGGCACACACCAACGTGTGAGCGTTGTGTGTGGACCCCGCTGCAGTGTCAGGTGTTCCTTCTCCCCCGGCAGGCCCCTGCGCACTCTGCCCATTGGCGTGGCCCTCGCCTGCTCCACCAGGCACGCTGGTTTCTGCTGCAGCATTTAGTGCTTCATCGTGGCCTGCAGCCACCGCATCCTCGGATCCGTTGCCATACAGTGCTTCGCGTGATTCGTCGCCATCAGAGCGCTGCTTCTTATTATCAGCACCTGTTGCATGCGTACCGCCTTTGGCAGCGTCTCCCTGTGGTGTCACCGGAGGCCGCGCATGTTTCGCTCTCTCTTTTTCTTTGAGCGCCTGACGCGCCTTTTCAGGCTCCGTTTCAGCCAAACGTGCTTGCTTCTCTCCAATATTCGCATCATACTCTGCTTCTTTTACCAGCGATTCAGCGTCTGCTGCCGCCTTTTTGGCCTCGCCCAAGCGCTTCTGCTCAGCAGTATCACCTGCTCCCGCGAGAGCTGTATCTTGTGGCTTTAAGGTCTCGATTTTCTGCACAAGCGCCTGTATCTTCTCCTTCGCCGAAATAACCCGATCATAGTGATATTTGGCATTGTTCACCGAATTATTAGCCCTCCAGAATTGATTTCCATTGCTGATAATCTTCTCTGTCTCATCACGTGCTGCTGTTGCCTCCTGCAACGCCTTCTCCGCCCTCTTAACTTCATTTTCCACCTTATCCAATGCACTCTTAGCCTTCAAGAGCTCTTCACCTACAGGCGTCGCTTTTTCTTGTGTCTCTTCACTCACTGCATCCGGTTCGTCGGAGAGCTCATTAGCGCTGATGCCAGGCATCTGATCCTGCTGCACCGCCGCCACGCACCCGCAGGCGCAGCACAGCGCGAGCGAAAGCACAAACAGCACGTGGCGCACCGTCACCGTCATTACTTCACTTCAGGTCGCTGGTCTGCGCGGCGGAGAAAAGGGAGAGAAAGAGAGAGGTGAGGCAGTCGCACACTCACAGTGAGAAGGCACATCAGAGCACCACTCAAGGCGAACCGAGGGAAGTAAAAGAAATGAATTAGGGGATAAACACACAGCCCCACAGAAAACAATAAAGTTCACTCAGTCCAAAACGAATAGGGAAGAGTAATGCGCGTTGATCGAACAGCCCTCCACGAGTACATGGGTGCACGTACTTTATTCTGTCGCAGGCAGAGGTTCTGGCATTGCGTCCGCAGCGGGACAGCAATTAAAAAAGAAAAACAAAAAAGATCGGAACCCTGTTCACAAAGCAAGATGTAATTAATAGGGATTCAGCGCAGTCTCAGAGACGCACGGCTAATCACACGGCAGCGTATGCCGCAACCACAAGAAACAGGGATGGACGCACCCACGTGTAAAGGCCACTGCCGTCCCGCCCCGCCAAGTCAGCAGAGCCACCTGCTGCCCCACCCGTTGTGCCGGTCGTTCCCGTCCCTTCGGCTCCAGCTCCAGCTTCAGCTCCGCCCCCAGAAGGTTTCGTCTCCGAATGTCCGCCACCACTCTGCTGCTCTGAACCGTCACCAATGTCAACATTGGGCAACTCAGCAACGCCAGGCACGTCGGCGGGCGGCTTCGGAACTCGCGGCNGCATTTGTTTAAACGCCTCCACACGTTTTGTCTCCCCTTCTTTCAGATTGGCTAACAGACTTTTGTACGCCACATCCGCATCTCGATTGGTCTCCTGCAGCAATTTTAATTCGTGCTCGACGGTTCTCTTCGAAGAGTGGGCAGGCTGGAGCACATCCTTCGCTTTCCCTGATCCAAGTGAATCACCCCCACTCCCAGTTTTGCTGGAATCCTTGCCCTCTGCGGCTTTAATATCGGCCTCTGCTTTTGTATACAGCCGCGTAGCCTCAGCTGAGGCCTGCTGTGCCCTCTTCAAAGCCTCTTGAATCACTTTCATTCCCTCGTCAGCTTCACTTCTTATTTTCTCGGTGGTATATTCTGCAGGCACATCAATGTCACTCAGTAACTGAGGCTGCAGCGGCGAGGGCAGTTGGGCGTTGATGCCAGGCATCTGATCCTGCTGCACCGCCGCCACACACCCGCAGGCGCAGCACAGCGCGAGGGAAAGCACAAACAGCACGTGGCGCACCGTCACCGTCATTGCTTCGCTTCAGGTCGATGGTCTGCGCGGCGGAGAAACGGGAGGGAAAGAGAGAGAGGTGACAGACAGTTAGACACACACACACAGTGAGAGGGCACATCAGAGCACCACTCAAAGTAAACCAATTGAGAATAAAAATATGAATTAGGGGACAAGCCCAT